GTCAGCAGCACACTCCGTCGTCCCAGGAGCTTCGTGAGTAGTACTCTCAGCACGGGGGGGGGGGGGTGGCCTTAGCTGCACGTACGTCATCCGCACTGGTGACCGCACTGGCCAGACGTGTGGGAGGGCGCACACCACGCAGCGCTGCTTCTCCCGCCTTGACGACGCTTGGCACACTCAGTTCCCTACTGCCACTGAGCTGCCCCGCTGGGCTGACCTGATGAAGAAGAATATTGATATCTATGCTCTTGACTTTGATGCTATTCTCACTGCCATGTATGTGTTGTCTACTAGTGGAGAGGGTGATCAGTACCTGCGTGTTCCGCCCGACCCGGGCATTCGGACCAGTGAGGCTGCCGCTCTAGGTGCTAGTGCGTCTGTTGCCCTAGGTGCTGGTGAGGCTGCCGCTCCAGGTACTCGCGTGTCTGCTGCCCCAGGTGCTGGTGAGGCTGCTGCTCTAGGTGCTAGTGAGTCTGCCCCCCCTGGTACTGAGTCTACTGAGGCACTGCACACCTTCACACTGGAGTCAGGTGCTTCTCGCTGTTTCTTTCGTGACTGCACTGCCCTTGAGCAGCTTGCTCGGCCAGTTGCTGTCTCCCTTGCTGACCCCTCTGGGGGTCCGGTCATTGTGACCTCCTCCACTGTCCTTCCTTGTCCTGCGGTTCCGTCGGGCACACTGTCAGGACTCCACCTCCCCTCGTTCTCTACGAACTTGGTGGCGGGTTGTGCGCTCCAGGACGGGGGTGTCCACCAGTTCACCCCTGCCTACGAGCGCGTGACACACTGCACGTGTGCTCGGACGGGCCGTCACCTGGCTACCTTCACTCGGCAGCCGGGGTCGGACCTGTACACACTGACCACTGAGTCCCCTCAGGTAGCTGCGTCTGTGTCTGCGTCAGGTCAGCTGTCGGCCCCCTGCTCGTGTCGCTCTCTAGCGCATGAGACCGTCCTCTCGCACCACCGCCTTGGTCACCCGTCAGTGCAGCGCCTTCGTGGCATGCACAAACGGTATCTTGTCTCTGGTCTTCCCAGGGTACTCCCTCCCCTCCCACCCTCTCCTGCTCCTCCCTGTCTTCCCTGTGTCGAGGGGCGGCAGCGCGCCGCTCCTCACTCCTCCTCGTTTCCCCCGACGACTGCTCCCTTGCAGGCACTCCACATGGACGTGTGGGGCCCAGCCCGCGTCCGTGGACAGGGTCAGGAGAGGTACTTCTTAATAGTTGTTGACGACTACTCGCGCTACACCACGGTCTTCCCCTTGCGCACCAAGGGTGAAGTCCCTGATGTTTTGCGGTCCGGTCCGCGGACAAGCTCTCCTCCCGTGCTGTTCCTTGTGTCTTCCTTGGCTTTGTCCCGGACGCGTCTGGTTGGCAGTTTTACCACGCCACCTCGCGCCGTGTCCTGCCCTCTCAGGACGTCACTTTTGACGAGTCGGTGCCCTACTACCGCCTCTTCCCCTACCGCACTGCCCCGCTCCCCCCCCCGCCTCTCTTCCTCGCGCCAGGTGCTGCTGTGGTAGACCCCCTCCCCCCTCAGGGTGCCGCTCCCTCAGGTGTGTCCCAGGTAGACCCGGTTGAGCCTGTCGAGGTAGCTGTCGACTCTCGTCCTGCTAGGGGTGCTGAGCCTGGGGGTGCGGAGCCTGGGGGTGCGGAGCCTGGGGTTGCGGAGTCTGGGGGTGCTGAGCCTGGGGGTGCTGAGCCTGGGGGTGCGAAGTCTGCGGGTACTGAGTCTGGGGGTGCTGAGTCTGGGGGTGCTGAGCCTGGGAGTGCTACACCTGGAGGAGCTCTCTCCTCACAGCAGCTGCGTGAGTGGTACTTACAGTACTGCAGCCTCAGGAGGGGTGCTTCTGGAGCTAGGAGCGCTGCTGGAGCTGGTGCTCGTGCTTCCCCTCCTAGGCGGGAGCTGCCCTCTCCCCAGCAGCTCCGAGAGTGGTACGCTCGGCGCTGCAGTCTCCGGAGTGGCGCTCCTAGTGTCGTGGACCCTGGTGCTGGAGCTGCTGGCGGTGCTGCTGGCGCTGCTGGAGGTGCTACTGGTGCTGGTGCTGCTGGAGGTGCTGCTGCTGCTGGCGGTGCTGCTGGCGCTGCTGGAGGTGCTGCTGGTGCTGCTGGAGCTGCTGGAGGTGCTGGTGCTGCTGGCGCTGCTGGAGGTGCTGCTGGTGCTGGTGCTGCTGGAGCTGCTGGAGGTGCTGCTGCTGCTGGCGGTGCTGCTGGCGCTGCTGGAGGTACTGCTGGTGCTGGAGCTGCTGGAGGTGCTGCTGCTGCTGGTGGTGCTGCTGGCGCTGCTGGAGGTGCTGCTGGTGCTGGAGCTGCTGGAGGTGCTGCTGCTGCTGGCGGTGCTGCTGGCGCTGCTGGAGGTGCTGCTGGTGCTGGTGCTGCTGGCGCTGCTGGAGGTGCTGCTGGTGCTGGTGCTGCTGGAGCTGCTGGAGTCGCTGGTCCTGGAGGTGCTCGTACTGGAGGTACTGGAGCTGCTGGGACTGGGCCTGCTGAGGGGGTTGGAGCTGGAGGTGCTGAGCGGCCGCGGCCGTACTACGTTCCGCTCCTTCAGCAGGTTCTTGGTCTCCCGCCCTCTACTCGTCCTTCTCCTCCCCTACTGAGCCCACCGTCTGTCCAGTCGCAGTCACAGTTACAGCCTGCCTCTCCGCTGCCTGCTCCTTCTCCTTACACTGCGCCGACGGGTAGTCTTACGGAGCGTCGTGAGCCTGAGTCTCGTCCTCCGTCGCCTGAGTCTAGTCCTGCGTCTCCTGAGTCTCGTCCAGAGTCGCCTGTCCGCGCTGCCCGCACTGGTCGTCGTGTTCCGTGTGAGCGTCCTCCTCCTGTCCTTGGCACTCACTATATGACCCTGCGTCCTTCTACTGCTCCACAGCGTGTCCCTCTGCCGTCTCCTCCTGCGTCCTCTCTTCCTGACGTTGCTGACCCGCCGTCAGACCTTGCTCGTGCTGCCAGTCCTACTGTCGCGCGTCTCCTTGCCACTGTTGTCACTGACCCTTCCTTTGAGTCCTCTGCTGCGTCTGCTCTAGTCGCTGAGCTTGTTGACTTTGCTGCCGCCTGCCGTCTAGACTACGCCGCTAGCCTTGTTGCTGAGTCTGAGTCTGTCTGTCCTCCGTCCGTCGGGGGTGAGTGTGCTCTTGGCACAGACGTCCTTGAGGACAGACAGGAGGAGTTTGAGTGCTTTGCTGCTGCTTTACCTCATCTCGTGTCCATGCTGATTGCCCCTGAGGGAGACCCGGATGCACCAGACATCCCGACCCCACGCTCCTTCGCAGAGGCGATGGAGGGTCTCTACTCCTCTCAGTGGCAGACAGCCATGGACGCAGAGATGGCTTCCTGGAAGTCCACAGGCACCTACGTCGACGAGGTTCCCCCACCTGGGGCGAACATCGTCAGTGGCATGTGGATTTTCAGGGTGAAGCTGCCGCCGGGTTCTCCGCCTGTCTTCAAGGCGCGTTACGTTGCTCGAGGCTTCAGTCAGCGAGAGGGAGTTGACTTCTTCCAGACCTTCTCCCCGACCCCGAAGATGACCACTCTTCGGGTTCTGCTGCACGTCGCTGCTCAGCGTGACTACGAGCTCCACTCTCTTGACTTCAGCACTGCGTTCCTACAGGGCAGCCTGCACGAGGAGATCTGTCGGAGAACCTTCTTCTTCATCCTGCACCTGCTCTTCTTCCTGCCCCTGCTCTTCATCCTGCACTTGCTCTTCTTCCTGTCCTAGTCCTGCTCCTGCCGGCTCTCCCGTTTCTTCCTGTTCCCTTGTGTCCAGCCTCACTCACCCACTGGGTGAGTGAGGCACAGAGCGTGATGCTAGGCAAGGGGATGGCTGAGAGGCTGGGATTGCTGGCGCCAGAGAGGCACGTGGCGAAGGGGATGCTAGTGATGACAGCGGAGGGAGGGGAGCCGAAGTGGATGCCGTGTACGCGGACGCCCATAGAAGTGACGCTGATGCCGGGGGGGGAACACGAGACTAAGATCCGCATGAAGTGTGGGATTTCCGAGTCGGAGGACTTTGACATGTTAGTGGGCACCGAGCTGGTGTATGCGGTGGGGATGACCATATGCACGTGGACGGAGAAGGTCGAGTTCAGGACCAGGTACTGGAAAAGGGAAGGGCCGCTTGGAGAGCTGCCAGTGCGATTTGTGAAGGTGGAGCTGAAGAGAGCTTATCAGGCCGTGGGGGAACGGCTGCAGGGGGAGCAGGGGGGGCTGTCAGGGATGGGAAGGGCGCCCAAGATGAGGGGGATGGACAAGCCACGGGAGCAGAGTGACTGGCAGCAGCCCATCCACCTGGTGGAGCTGTTTGGGGGGATAGGGGCAGGGCTGTCCGCACCTGTGGCATGTCCTGGTGTCTGTCCCTGTCTCCCCCCGTCCCTCTGTCCTCCCTCCTCCTCCGGGTATCATTGCCGCCGCCCATGTGGGCCGCCTGCTCCTCTCCGCTGGCCTCAAACTTCCGCTGTGCCAGCTCCACTCTCTCTGCCAGAGCGAACACCTCCTCTAGGCTTGCGTCTGCTCCCAGCTCGTACACTCTCATCCTCAGCCCCCCTCCCAGGGCCTCGTCCAGGCCCCCTAGGAACTTGCTGATGAGAAGACTGCCGTCCGTGCACCTCACGTCGTCCGCCACATTGAGCAGCCTGTTGTAGTAGGTCAGCAGTGACTCAGTCCTACCCCTGCTGAATTCCTGGAACTCCCGTATGCGCTCTGCCGTGTGCCCTGGGAATTGCCGCTGCAACCGCTCCAAAAAGGCCTCGGTGGGATCCTCGCCGTACCTCCCCGCCCTCCACAGCAGCTCCTCCATCCTCATGCGGTAGAGCGTCTCGGCCTCTCCCTCCAAGGTGTTCGGCAGGCTCAAGAAGAAGTCCACTGGGTCCATGTGATGCCGGTCGCAGCGGTACCGCACATTCCCCACCTGCATGAGGTAGTTCTTGAGGGTCGGCCCTGCTCGTTGGTCGCCTGAGAATCTGGCGGGCACTTCCACTCGCGGGGTACCGGTGCCACCCCCCCGCCCTTCTCCCCATGATTCTCTGGCCCCTTCTGTCCGCCTCTCCTCTGGTCCCCTCTCCCGTGCCCTCTGCATGCCCTCTCTGGCCTCACGTGCCCGCTCTGCTCCCTGCGCCAAGGTTCCGCCCCCGGTCCTGCCCTCTTGGCGGCTCCCTCCGGACTCGTTCCGCCTCTCCCACGATCCTCCCCGCCCTTCTGTCCGTCCCCACTGCGGCGCCGGCGGCACGCGCGCCTCCCGCTCCTCCCACCTGCCCGTCTCGTGCCGCGGCCGCCTCTCTGGTGATGGTGACCACGTGTCCAGGTGTTCCTGCCAAGTGCGCGGCAGGCGCCGTTCCGGTGATCGCTGCTCCCCGTCGTGCTTCTCCCTCCGCGCGTGACGTCCAGCAGGCGAGCGGGACCAACTACTGTCTCTCCGCCCTCTCTGCCCCATCCCTCCTGGCGAGCGCCTGGTGCTGCTGCGCCCCCCTTGCTGCTGACCGTGCCGCTTCGGCGACGCAGGTTCCGCTGCCTGCCTCCTGTCACCCCGCGGCTGCCATCGTCCCGCCGACTGCGCGGCGCCGCCGCTCCACTCCCCTTGTTCCTGGCGCTCGCCGTGCGGGCGGAACTCGCCCACGCGCCACTCCTCGCGGCGCCGCTCTCTCTCCGGCGAGCGTGACCTCTCCGCCTTCCCCTTGCGGCGCGGGCTCGGCGCCTGCCCCGCTCGTTCGTTTCTTCCCGGTGTCCCTCGCTACCGTAGTCTGGAGTCCGCCGCGTGCCGGCCCCCCCCGTGGGGACCCTCTCGCTCGCGCGCTCCCGACAGCAGGGCCTCCGACCTTGCAGCTGCCGCCTCACTTGTCTCCGCTTGACCCTCCGCCGGCGTGGCTCCCGCTTTGCCGGTCCCCCCTGGCTGCGCCTCATCCGCCCCTTCCACATCCGCCTCCTCGTGCGGCCCCTCTGGTTCCTCCTCCGCGTCCTCCGCGTCCTCCGCGTCCACCGCGTTCTCCGCGTCCTCCGCGTCTCGCTCCGGCGTCCGTTCCCGAGGCACATTGCGCCCCGAGTCCATTCCGTGCGCGTCGATCCCGCCATCCCGCTCTCGTCCGCGGGATCGTTCTGCAAAGCCCAGCCACCGCCCTCACTCATTGCGACGCCTTCCGCGCTCTTCCGGCGAGTGGAACGTCCCGGTGCCGCGGTGACTCCCGCCCTCTACGCCCGTTCCGCGTACATTCTCTCGCGGCCACGCCTCTCGATCTGTCCGATCGACGCGGCCTCCGCCGCTCGCGCGTGCATCCATCGCTCGACCGTCACTCACAGCCGGAACCCGATCCGCGCGGAAAGCGGGGCGGCGCGGCGACCGCTCCCAGGATCGCCCACGTTCTCGGGACGGTTCGCGACGCTCTCGCTCTTCCTCCCGACGGCTATACGCCCTACCCCAACGCAGTTCGTGCTTATCCATCTCGTTCGAGCCTAGCCTCCGTATGCCTTTCTAGTGTGTAATGAAAGAGTCTCGTCCCCCACCCCGTAGGTTCCCTCTTAGTGTCGTGCTGTCGTGTGCTAGAGCGTGAGACAACCAGATTCACTAGTTCGAGAGAATTACACACTAGAAAGCAAGGAGGGGATGGGAGGGAGCAGCCTATGACCCCACCCAAGGCTGCACGTTTCCACATGTGCGGCTCGGGTGGGGTGTTACCCGCTTTGGCAGGTTTCGCCTGTCGAGGCCTTTTCCCTCCCAAATCCAACCGCCACGATCCCATTTCCCCCCTTCTACACCCTTTCCCAACAGTAACCATATTTCCCCCTACACCCATTCCTACTTGTTGTTTCACATACATATAACTAACTCATCATCCTATCATTGTCATGTCAAGCCCACCCTGTTCCATCCTTCTACTGTTATTGCATATGCATCACATGCATATGCGGTGACAGATCTGGTTGCGCCGCCCACCTGGCTTCACTGGGTCGTTCCCTCCTGGTACCCAGTGGAGCCTCCGGCGGCCAGTCTACGGTCTCCGCCAGGCACCCCGTGAGTGGCACGACACACTGAGGACTACGCTTGCGGCTCTTGGGTTTGCTCCTTCTACTGCTGACCCGTCGCTGTTTCTACGCACCGACACCACTCTGCCGCCGTTCTACGTTCTCGTGTACGTCGACGACTTGGTCTTTGCTACTGCTGACACTGAGGCACTCGCCCACGTGAAGTCGGAGCTGCAGAAGAGACACACGTGCACAGACCTGGGTGAGCTGACAAGCTATCTTGGCTTGCGGATCACCCGGGACAGAGCACAGCGCACCATCACCTTGACTCAGTCACACATGGTGCAGCAGGTCCTTCAGCGCTTCCGCTTCACGTACTCCTCGCCTCAGCCCACTCCTCTGCCTACCGGTCACTCGCTCTCAGCTCTGCCTTCGGATGAGTCCGTAGAGCCGAGTGGCCCGTATCCAAAGCTTGTGGGCTGCCTCATGTACCTGATGACCTGCACTCGACCTGACCTTGCATACCCTCTTAGCATCCTAGCACGCTATGTCGCTCCTGGCCGTCACCGGAAGGAGCACATGGATGCCGCTAAGAGGGTGTTGCGCTACTTGTGCAGTACGTCGGGCATGGGGCTTGTGCTTGGAGGACGGCGCGACGTTGTCCTCACTGGACACTCAGACGCCTCTTGGGCTGACGACCAGGCTACGCAGCGGTCGTCTCAGGGTTACACCTTCAGCCTTGGCTCTGGCTCTGTTTCCTGGCGCTCTACACGCTCTTCCTCTATTCTCAGCTCCAGTTGTGAGGCTGAGATCTACGCCACAGCCATGGCTGCCCAGGAGCTACGCTGGCTCACCTACCTGCTGACCGACCTGGGAGAGCGGCCTCGTTCTCCTCCAGTGCTGTACGTCGACAACAAGGCAGCCCTTGCCTTGTGTCAGGAGCACAGACTGGAGCACAGAACGAAGCACATCGCTCTGCGCTACTTCCTTGCTCGAGAGCTGCAGCAGCGTGGTCAGCTTCGTCTTACTTACGTGGCCACTCGGGCCAACACTGCTGATGTGTTCACCAAGGCGCTTCAGCCTTGAGATCATCAGCGTTTCTGTACTGTTCTAGGCCTTGTGCCTACTCTCCCTCACTTGCTCACTTCTTGACTCTACTTGTACTGTGATCTTTATATATATACCTGCATGCTTACACTTGCTAGGTTGTGATCACTGTACCTCTTGTTATATTATCAAACTGCATGTGAACTGGTCTTGTGACCACTTGCTTGTGCTCGGAATTTGTGTGGTATCCTTGAGATCCACCCTGAGCTTCGTTTGCTTTGCCTTGCTTTGACTGGTCTTGTGACCCCTTGCTCTCCCCCACTTAGCCTATAAGGGTGTGTCAAACATTATATGTTTACATTGTGTAGGCTATAGTGGGTTTAGCCTTAGGGGGTACAACAAACTTAGGGTTTCCTACTTGTACCCAACTTTCTGCTAGTTCATCATTCTTGTTCTCTCTAAGATTCTGACAGCAGCGCTTGAATGGTGGTGCCACACCTTGGACACAGGGACTCCGACAGGTGTGACACATGCGGCAGACGGGACCTTGACATCGGCTAATCAAGGGGCAACCTCAATCTTCGGAGTGACCAAGATACGCACGTGGAAGGAGTGGGGCGCAGCCTTACGAGATCGCTTCGAGCACGTATCCGCTTCGGAGCAAGCTCGAATGAAGCTGCGTAACTGGTCGCAGTTGGCATCTGTTCAAGACTACACGGCGTCGTTTATGGCCTTTGCTGACCAAGTGGACGACATGGCGGAAGCAGAGCGGTTAGATAAATACATCAGCGGCCTGAAATACGAGATACAGTACGAGGTGCGCCGATGCCGCCCGACTTCGTTCCTGGAAGCCATACGGTTAGCTGAGTCTACAGACGCGTTGATGCAGTATGCGAGGGCAGGTTCCCGGGAAGGAATCCGTCTTCGTGGACAGACCCAACGGACCACAATCAACGTAGTCCACACACCAGACCGCCCCTTTACAGGGACGTGTTTTAAGTGTGGGAAGACGGGTCACTACGCAAGAGAATGCCCCGAGAAAACACCGGCGAAGGGGAACGACAGGAGGGAGCAGGGAAATGGGAAGAGTCAGTAATTTACGGGCCCCTTACTGACTATGCTTCGTCGCCCGAACACCAACATCCCCACCGAGTAGTGGTTCCGATTCATGCAATCGATCGCACTCGGCCGAATAACGGGGATACTCATGTGGATCACCCTATGCTGGTCGTTGGCACAGTGTTAAAAATTACTCTGAAAATGTTCGTCGACGGAGGGGCCCGCCATAGCCTCTTCAACTTGGCGACAGCAAAAAAATGCAAGCTGCAACTTGACAGGTGTCTGCCCGAAATTGACGCTCGCCTCGTGGATGGGACGCCTCTGGCGATTTTGGAAGAAACACGGACGGTGAGGATTGAGTGCGGCGACATTTTCGGCTTCAGCATGAAGTTTCTCGCGACGACTCTGGATGGCTGCGACGTGCTGCTGGGACGTGATTGGCTGCGACGACACAACCCCGTCATCGACTGGACAACGGGATCGTGCTGCATCAATAAGCACGAGGGGCTAGTTAAACTGCCTGCATGGACACCTGACTACATCCAAGCCCCGTGCGTCAAAGCTATCACTATAGCTCGCCATTTCAACAGGGGCGCGCAGCTGTACGCTGTATGCTTACGCGAGTTGGCAACCGACACCGACGGACAAGACATCGAGAAGCTGTGTGCAGCTGTACCGCCGGATTTAGCGGAGCTGATACGACAGTACCCGGACATCTTCCCCGACGGCCTGCCACCTGGACTGCCACCCGAACGACCCGAGGACCACAAAATACAACTGGAACCTGGCGCGCAACCGACTGTTCGTACACAGTGGCGGTTGACCCAACCGGAAATCGAGGAGCTGCGAAGCCAACTGGATGGCTTATTGGAGAAAGGGTTTATCAGACCCAGTACGTCTCCCTACGCGGCCCCGATCTTGTTCACCCCGAAAAAGGACGGTGGGCTTCGCATGTGTATTGATTATCGCGCGCTCAACAGGGTTACAATCAAGTCTCGCTACCCGATCCCACGCACCGACGACCTCCTCGACCAACTTTGCGGCGCTCGCTACTTCTCGAAAATCGACTTACGTGGCGGTTACCATCAGATACGGGTCTTCGCAGAGGATCGTTACAAGACCGCGTTCCGCACCCGCTACGGAAGCTACGAATTCCAAGTGATGTCGTTCGGCCTCACAAACGCGCCATCGACTTTTCAACTGACCATGAACCGAGTTTTCAGGGAATTTCTTGACAAGTGTGTGATCGTCTACTTGGACGATATTTTGATTTTCAGCAGGACAAGAGAACAACACCTCCGCGACCTCGACGCGATTTTCCAGCGGTTACAGGAGAACCGCCTCATCACCAAAGGTTCTAAGTGTGAGTTTTTTAAGCAAGAGTTGGATTTTTTGGGACACGTCATCTCCCGCGACGGCATAAAAATCGACCCGGCGAAAATCAAGGCTATACAGGAGTGGAAGTCCCCGACGAATATCACGGAACTTCAGAGTTTTCTGGGTTCGTGAATTATGTCAGGAGATTTATCCCGAATATGGCGGGGATAACCGGCCCGCTAACCGACCTGCTGCACAAGGACATCAATTTTGTGTGGGGGGAGGAAGCAGAGGCGGCTTTTCAGGAACTAAAGAATTTTCTGGTATCCCCTCCGGTTCTACGCATCGCCGATCCATCGAAGCCGTTCGAAGTCATCACCGACGCCTCAGATTTCGCCATCGGAGCTGTACTTCTACTGGATTTCGGAGACGGTCTGCAGCCGATTGCCTACGAATCACGCAAGCTGCAGTCTGCTGAGCGCAACTACCCGATACACGACAAGGAGATGCTCGCAATTATACATGCGTTCAAACTATGGCGCTGCTACTTGGTGGGCGCCGACGTCACTGTTCGCACGGACCACAAGTCCCTACAGTACCTGCGAGCTCAGCCCAACCTCAACCCGCGACAAATTCGTTGGCTCAATTACATGGAGAGCCTCTTCACCTACCGCATCACGTACAAGAAAGGGGCGAATAACATCGCCGACGCCCTTACCCGACCAACAGTTCAATCCGCTGCAGTACTCATCACCCACTCGAACCCACTACTTACGGGACTATTCAACCACGGCTACACTACGGACCCGTACTTCACGACTGGAAACCACCAGCAGGCAACGACGCAAAAGGGGAACTATTACCTAAAGGCCGGAACTGACCGGGTTTGGGTTCCCGCTTACCGGCTGCTGCGTGAACTCCTTATCCAAGAGGTCCACGATTCAAACCTCTCCGGACATTTCGGGGTTGATAAAACCCAGAATCTGTTGCACCGTCAATATTACTGGCCTGATTCCTCTAACGACGTGCAGCGATATGTGTCCTCATGCAGGGTGTGCCAAGCCATGAAATCGACACGACAGCGGCCAGCTGGATTGCTGCAACCACTGGAGCCACCCGAGCGACCATGGCAACAGGTGACGATGGACTTCGTCACAGGGCTGCCAGCTGGGCCATCCGGGAACGACGCGGTACTCGTCGTCGTCGATCGCCTCACGAAGATGGCACACTTCGCACCGTGTCGTACAACAATCACAGCCGAAGAAACTGCGCGCCTCTTCATATCAACCGTCGTGCGACTACACGGAATCCCGTCGGCGATCGTCAGCGACAGAGATCCGAAGTTCACTTCAAGATTTTGGAAGGAGACGTGGGTGCAGTACGGCACAAAGCTACAGTTCGCATCAGCATATCATCCACAAACCGACGGACAAACCGAGCGAACCAATCAGACGATGGAGCAGCTGATCAGGACAAACTGCCCCGACCCAACTCGCTGGGAAATGTCACTCGCCATGCTGGAGTTCGCGTTCAACAACGCACCGTCTAGCACGACTAATCACTCCCCGTTTTTCCTGAATTATGGGATGGACCCGGTGGTGCCAACCACCACGATACTCGACAACCCGGTCCCACGGTCACAAACATTTGTGACAGAACTTCAAGAGATCCGCGAGAAAGCAGCCGACGCTATTCGCAAGGCGAATATTACTGCCCGGAAATACTCGGATCTCCTACGACGAGAAATCGTCATGACGCCTGGGCAACTAGTGCTACTCGACACGAAAAACCTACGCCTGCCCGGCTCGAACAAACTACGGCCACGATTTTGTGGGCCTTTCCGCATCATCCAGATGGTGACACATGTCACTGCGAAGCTGCTACTACCCGACGACTGGCGTATACACGACGCCTTCCATGTCAGCCTCCTTCGCAAATTCGTGCCTGCCACGACAGACATTGCGCGCCAGAACGCCGCCCCGACAGCTCGACCTGTCCCGGAACCGACCACCGACCCCTCAAAGATTCTCGGACATCGGATCCGGCTCGACGCCACTGGACGCCACGTGGACTTTCTAGTCCGATGGACTGACCTCACCAGTGAGGACGACACGTGGGTGCCATCCGCATCGCTTGAAGCTTCCCCGCTTCTTGGTGATTATTTCGTCCGCAAGCGAGTTGCGGATATTGACCACCTTGCTTAAAGGGGGGGGTAGTGTAAGGATTTTTCCTTTATCCTTACCGGGGTTGACTGCTACGCGTACAACCCCGATTTTCGGACTTCGCGCGTTCGGCCGACATCAACGATGGCGAGGCTCCTCCGCGTCGCCTTCGGCTTTCCGTCGCCAAACCTGCACCCAACCTCGTTTCCCGAGGTTCCCTCCGAGCTAGGGTATGCACTATATAGTCGCGTGCCTTCATTGTAATAGACAGTTCATGAAGTCACAGCTTCGTTATTCGTTATTCCGCGCACTCTCCATTACAACTCATAACAAACGGGGTACTCAAAGTACATGTGTTAATGTGATTGGCCGTTTATTCTGACATTACATTCTTTCCTTCTCTGCACCCATTTAGCGTTATTCACCACCAATTGCGACGTTCGAAACGTGAGCACCACCTCCACTCGCCTAGATCTGTTTCTTGTGATCACACTGCGCAATAGCGAAGCGGCAATCCGCAGCAAAGCAGCAATAAGTAGCAAAGCAGTGCGATGCGGCGCGTCGCAGTAATACTCTCATGATTGGTTGTGACATTCGACGGCGCGATCCCAGCCAGCATGTATGGCCTTCCAACTGACGCTTCGTCCCATCTAACACCGTCAGCATCTTGAGCGCCGTCATCGCCGTCAGCACCGTCACCACCGCGACCGGCATGCCAACCCACCATCCAACCCCCTGGCAAACCCGTCAACCCTCATCATCGTTATTAGGCTTTTTAGGGTTTCCGCGGTTTCGGCGTTTTCTGGCGCGAATGCCGCAACGGTACGTGGTGGTGCTGCTGACAGCAGCATGCACCACGGTGTGTTATATCGAACGCGTGGGGTTCAGCGTGGCGTACTCGTTAGTAGCTAATCGCAACCACGTGGATCAGGCCACTAAGGGATGGGTGCTCTCGGCGTTTTATTACGGATACGCCCTTTCCCAGGTGGGTGCCTCCTTGCGAACACGCCCTTTTGCAGATGAATGTGATGCGAATGCGCCCTTAAGCATCTGGGTAGGTTGCAACTACCTCCCTGCACTCCGTTTCGCCGACCCTTGCTTCCCCTCGTCTCTGTATCATCAGGTATCTCCTCAGGTATCTCCTCAGGTAGTTCCTCAGGTATCTCCTCAGGTGGCTCCTCAGGTATCTTTCAGATACTTTCCCATGTAGCCCGGCCTTACAGCGCTATAAAGGCTTGCGGGTCAACACCCATCGCCGTCCTCGCCTTTTGGGACGTCTCAAAGGTCATCACCATCGCCGTCCTCGCCTTTTGGGACGTCTCAAAGGTCATCACCATCGCCGTCCTCGCCTTTTGGGACGTCTCAAAGGTCATCACCATCGCCGTCCTCGCCTTTTGGGACGTCTCAAAGGTCATCACCATCGCCGTCCTCGCCTGGTGGTGGTAAATGCTTGAACCTACTCTCCCATCTTCGCCCTCCCTCCCCTCATTTCTCTTCCAGGTCCCAGGCAGCTCTGCAGTGCAGCGTTTCGGACGCAGGCGGGTCATCACTGTAGGCTTCCTCGTCTGGACCGCCCACTCCCTGCTCACTCCCTCCCACCCCTCTTCCTCCTCCCTCTTACTTCATAATCTCCTTCCAGGTACCTGGAAGTTCTGCAGCGCAACGCTATGGCGGCCGGCGGGTCATCACAGTGGCCTTCCTCGCCTGGACCGCCCTCTCCCTCCTCACTCCCTCACCTCGCCCTCCCTCCTCGCGCTCCTCCTCATCCGCTTCCTAGTGGGCGCCACGCAGGGCTTCATATTCCCCTCCATCCACACAGTGCTCGCTCTCTGCATCCCTCCCCACGAGAATGGTGTCTTTTGAGTCGACTCAAAACGCTCTCTGCATCCCTCCCCTCCACCCCTGGCCTTCTTCCAAACTCCCTTCCAGGTACCGGGCAGCTCTGCAGCACAGCGCTACGGAGGCAGGCGGGTCATCACCGTGGCATTTCTTGCCTGGACCGCCCTCTCCCTCCTCACTCCTTCAAACCCGACCTCCTCCTCGCTCACCTCGCCCTCCCTCCTCGCGCTCCTCCTCATCCGCTTCCTAGTCGGCGCCACGCAGGGCTTCATCTTCCCCTCCATCCACACAGTGCTCGCTCTCTGCATCCCTCCCCACGAGAATGGTGTCTTTTGAGTCGACTCAAAACGCTCTCTGCATCCCTCCCCTCCACCCTTTGCCTTCTTCCAAACTCCCTTCCAGGTACCGGGCAGCTCTGCAGCACAGCGCTACGGAGGCAGGCGGGTGATCACAGTGGCCTTCCTCGCCTGGACCGCCCTCTCCCTGCTCACTCCCTCCCACCCCTCCTCCTCCTCGCTCACCTCGCCCTCCCTCCTCGCGCTGCTCCTCATCCGCTTCCTAGTCGGCGCCACGCAGGGCTTCATCTTCCCCTCCATCCACACAGTGCTCGCCCTCTGCATCCCGCCCCACGAAAAATCCCGAGCCGTCAGCCTCACAATGTCCGGTATGTATCTCGGGGCCGGGGCGGCTATGTCGCTCATGCCGGCTGTAGCGGCGGGGGAGGCGCCCTGGGGTGGCCCGGCAGCGGTGTTTCGGTGGTCAGCTGGGCTGGGGTTGATGTGGGTGGTGCTGTGGGTGCGGCTGTTTTCGAAGGATCCGCCAGGGGGAGGAGGGGTGGGAAGAGGGAACGGAGGTGGTGGTGGTGGTGGTAGCAGCGGTGGTGATGGGAACCCGCTGTCTCCCCGTTTACCTGGTAGTAAGCATGATCTCCTGCAGGAAGATAATGTGAAAGACAGTGCGGTTGGGAGTGGTGGAAGCAGCAGCAGCTGTAGCAGCAGTAAGGCTATTCCCTGGGGGGCCATGATGAGCAGCTGGGCCATTTGGGCTATAGTTATTAATAACTACACTTTTCATTACGCACTTTACGTGCTTATGAACTGGCTTCCTTCCTACTTCGAGCAAGCGCTACACACGTCACTTCAAAGCATCGGCATCGGCAAATCCCTCCCATATTACATTATGATGATATTTTCCAACGTTGGCGGTGTAGCTGCTGATTTCCTTATCACGTCGCAGTTCCTGTCGATCGCAGCTACCCGGAAGGTTCTGAATACAGTTGGGTTTCTCATTGGAGCCGTGGCTCTATGCCTGATGCCGGTTCTTTCGTCGGTTACGGGAGCTATTTTATGCTCAACCATAACTCTGGGTGCTTGTGCATTTGCACGCGCGGGCTTCTCAGTGAACCACATGGATATTGCACCGAGATATGCAGGCCCCGTTATGGGTATCTCCAATACTGCTGGGACATTGGCGGGTATCGTGGGGGTGGCAGCAACAGGGTTAATTCTCCAAGCATGGGCTACGGATATTGCATTCGGATGGTGGCTTGCTTTTGTTACGCCAGCTGGACTATGTGTGCTGAGTGCGGCAATTTTCTGCGCATTTGCGACAGGGGAGAGGTTGTTTGATTGAATTGCTTTATGATCTGGTTAGTGTATTCCTATTTGTGTTAAAAAACTATTCAAAACAAAATTGTGCAATTGGTGAGTGCGGCGACAAACGAACCACGCCAACCAGTCGTTCCGTGCATGATGCATCGTACTGTACTTTCCGCTCTTACTGTAGCTCAACGAGGCTTGGCGATGTATCCTGCCGACGAATCATTCGCCTAATTATTCGCTCACAACTACGGCCAACTTCCAATGCTGTCCTCGTCTGCATCCCGTCATTGTCGGCTGCTCCATCGTTCTGTATCGTTCAGAATCGCACCTGAATTTCCTTGATATGATCATTTTCAGAACCTGTCGGATGGTTTTGCCTCCTCGTTCCTGCTGCTGTATCCCTTGCTGCAAAAATATCACTTCCCCAAATCTCCCACCATTCCCAGAAATTCAAACTCATCGACTGTGTTCCGCTGTTATCACGCGTGTAAGTCGTCCTGATCAAGTGGAAAACCTTGTTGGTTAAGTACAGCCACTTGCCTTGTTTCCATTTGGAAAGAGGGTGGGAAAGAAGGGAGGAGAGAACGGAGGGGGGGGGGGGAGGGGGGGGGGGGGAGTGGGTGTGGTAGGGAAGGAAGAGGGTTGGGAACTTGGGAGGGACCATAAGGTGCACGTCACAGGGAGTCACACTCACTCATGGACTGGTCGTGGTTTTCGTCAGTGGGCAGCAGTACATTCATTCGAACTCAGCAATGCATTCGCTTCGCACTCAGCAGCAGCAGCGTGCATTCATTCATCCATCCCTCTGCCTCGCCTCCTTTGCATCTTCCTTCCTTATGATGATTGCTTTGCTGCTGCTTCGCTTTGGTCCCTCTCCCAAGTTCCAAACTTTTCCACCACCCTTCTGCTTCTGCTGTCTCCTTGCTTTGTTTTTTAAGCGTGATTGCAGGTGTCTTCATTCGCGGTGTTAACGACTTGCACTTACTGTATCGCGTGATTGCAACCGTGAATGTTGCCAATTCTTCGGCAAATAGGGGTGTTGTCGTTCCTCGATGCAATCAGTGCCTCAATTTGTTCTTTTTGTTCCAAACAAACCGACTTCCTACGTGTACTGCTTGGTAGATGTTTGCGCGCCCTTTCTGCGGTGGCTCTTTACCAGAACCCTAAACTTCCTAGGTAAAAACCAACTTCTGTCTGCTTGGTTGATACCAGCGGGCCTTTTTCCACGCGCGGACCAGACGTGATTTTTGCCCCGCGTGCCTAAAGTAACGCATTTTTGTAAATTCTAGGAGAAGCCAGATATTTTTTGCGATTGTCGACGCATGCGGGAATTAGTCCCGCGCGCGTAGACGTCAGAGGAAGAGCATCGAAACAGATTAAAAAAAAAAACCGCTACACTTGGTCTAGATCCGACTGGTTCTTAGCAGGAACAATGTCCACATTCCGGGGCCGCACGTGGAGCGAGCCGTTAGGGCGACGTCACACTGAGACGCATGTTAGATAGTAATTCAGCACTGCTGGTCACTACACTTGCGGTACGTCAAGAAAATAACGAAAACCCGCTGATTTGATCAAGGAACGTCGACTCGTCTGCTTGATCGGCGGGACCTTGCGTCCCAGAACCTCTTGACGAGGTCATTTCGTTCCCCCTTCATTCATTCTTCGCACGTTCTGTCGATTAACAAGATTGCATAGGTGCTGCGATCGTGCGTTAGAAAGCTATTTTTGTTTCAGTAGGTGGGATCACCCTTACATCGCCAAATGTTCGACATTTAATTATCAAATAGTCTTGTCGTTCAGCGTGACCGGGCTGGGCGTATTCGTAAGGTTACGCTATCTTCATCAATACCGAGTCGCGATATCGTCTTCGATTTCCTCCCAGTGCGTGGGATCCTGCGGCGCCGGGCTCAAACTCGTCTTTCGGCTTTTGAGGCGCCTCAAAAGTGGCTTCGATTTCCTCCCAGTGCGAGCGATCTTACGGCGCCAGGCTCAAACGCGTCGCTCGGCCTCAACGCGCCTCGTAGCGCGTACAGACCAAGGTCTTGGTTTGCTGGCTGGTATTTCCAGATCGACGGTGGGGAGTCGGCGTGCGTATATCCACGGCGCCCGTAGTGGGATCGCTGTCGCGCCGTCAGCGTTGTGTGTCGACGGCGGAGATTCGGCGTTGTGAATCGACGGCGGAGGAGAGGCGGCGTTGGGAATCGACGGCGGGGAGGAGCCGATGGGAAGCGCAAGAGGTCTTGACGTTGTCAAGGGTTATGTGGATACGGATTATGGCCAGATACACTTCCGTAGGTGAGTTAACTACAATTGTACACTATCACTATAAGTACGACCAGATACACTTCCGCAGGTGAGTTAACTGCAATTATGATACACTATTGCTATAAATACGCTAAGATACACGACCGAATGTGAGCTAATGAGGTAAGTCATGGATCGAATAAAAGTTCACCGTAGTTATAGCCACAAACACCGCACATGTAAGCGAAGGAATTTTTATTGAGTTGATTCAGTGAGCTACTTACGGATACGCTGTCCCAAGGAGCTACATGATGCCATCCCGACGCTCTAGGGTTTTCAACTTGACGTTTCAGCAGCCCACTCACCCCCACCCATCCTTTCTCCCTCCCCCCCTCCCCCCCTCTCTCTGCACCTGGTAGTTTTGAGAATCTGTGAAACACCTCGTTGCGACTATCCACACAGCCCGCGCGTGGTGAAAGCATTCCTTTCAACGTCGCTCTAGGAACCCCTACCTTTCCCTTCCTGCCCTTCTCTCCCCCCATCCCCCTCCCCTTCTTCCCCATTATTCCCGATTCCTCTCCCCCTCTCCCCCATTCCTCCTTCCCCGGTACCTCGTCCCGTCTTCTCGTTTCCCGTCATCTTCCTCATTCAACTCCCGCTCTTTCGTTTTCCTGCCCTCCTCCCCTCCCCACTTCCTCCCCCCTTCCTCCCTGCCTTTCCCCTCCGCTTCCTCCCGCAACACACCTCCCCCCACCTTTTCCCACGTGCAGATGCGGACAAGGCATGCCGTCCGTGCTGCTCCTGCATGCCGCCCCGCAATCCTCCTCCATGTTCTCCTCCGCGCTCAAGCGCTTTGCCGCCCGGGGGCTGCACGCCGTGGCCGTCGATCTGCCCAACTGCGGCGAATCCAGCCGTTCGTCCGTGGAGCTGACGATCGCTGACGTGGCGGAGATCGTGCTGCAGGCGATCCAAGGGCTGAGATTCACCCACACCATCGACTTGGTAAGCGTCGAATATGAGTGGAGTTTGGGAGGGGGGGAAAAGAGGGGAGGGGGAGAAGGGAGGGGAAGAGAGATGGTCGCTGGGGATGAGAGGGAAAAGAAACGGAAAGTGAAGGGAAAGATGGGGGAAGAAGGGAAGGAGGGTGCGGGATTGAGTGGGGGGTGTGGAGGGGGGAGAGCGGGCGGAGTGAGGGGCATTACTATACTCTGGGGCCATCTGAATGCGGGGGGAACGGGGAGGGGGAAGTGGGAAGGGGAGATGGGAGGGGGGAGGGGGGGTGGGGAGGGGGAGTGGGGAGGGGGAGTGGGGAGGGGAGTGGGGAGGGGGATGGGGGAGGGGGGATGAGGAGCCCTGTTGGTTGGACGGAGTCAGTACGAACGAACGCCCAACAACGGCACAAACCCAATGTATGCATAGTAGCGGACCAGCCTTCGGCCAACTGTCACCGTCGCGCCCCGTCGGCCTGACCGGGGCACGTAAGAGAATTTGACCCTTTCACATGGCGTGCACGCAGAGTCTTATTCCCCCACCCAATCCCCCTCCTCCCCAACTCACCGCACCCATCTACCCCTTGCCATCCCCTGTTACCCCAACCAGCACCACACCCCACCCACCAACAGACATCCCCATCCCCTGTTTCCTGCAGTTTCCGCCACGTGCCCCCCCCTTCCCCCCCCATCCACCCCCATCCCTCTACCACACACACAGATAGGCCACCAGACGGGGGCAACAGTAGCACCAAAAATCGCATCGGATCTCCCCCAGGTGGTGCGGCGGGTGGTGCTGTGGGGCGTGCTGCAACCTTTCTTACCGCTCCCCACCCCTCTCAACCCCACAGATCGGGCACCAGACGGGGGCAACAGTAGCACTTAAGATCGCCTCGGATCTCCCCCAGGTGGTGCGGCGAGTGGTGCTGTGGGGCGTGCCCATGCTGGGCTTCATGGAGCGACCAAGGGGACCCTCTCTCACGCTCTGCAACCCTTCTCGCTGTTTGCCAACCCCCAACTTATTTCTTCCTGCCGTTTCCCCCGCCACCCCACTCCCCCCTCCCCCCCATGTGCCGCCACCCTAACCCCACAGATCGGGCACCAGACAGGGGCGACAGTAGCCTTGCAAATCGCCTCAGACCTTCCCCAGGTGGTGCTGTTTCCCAAACCTGTCCCTCCCTCCACACCCTGCTTCCCCCCCACCCGCACAGATCGGGCACCAGACAGGGGCAACAGTGGCGCTGCAAATCGCGTCAGACCTCCCCCAGGTGGTGCGGAGGGTGCTGCTGTGGGGCGTGCCCATGCTAGGCTTCATGGAGCGAGGGGGGCCTTCTCACCACTCCCCACCAGTCTCCACCTCTATATTTCATTGTTCTTCGCCGTTTCCCCCACCCACCCTCTCTTAACCCGCACAGATTGGACACCAAACGGGAGCGACTGTGGCGCTGCAAATTGCCTCAGATTTACCGCAGGTGGTGCGGCGAGTGGTGCTGTGGGGCGTGCCCATGCTGGGGTTCATGGAGCGAGGAGACGTGCTGAGGGAGGAGCCTCCTGATTACGATGGCGATTTGGAGGGCACTGTCGCTTCCTTTCTGGAGAAACGATACCCCTACCCCGTGCCCTGGCAACTCAAGGTGCGGCCAGCAGGTTTCAAGGTGGGTTTCGTTGGGTGCTATGAGGTGCCGTGGGGTGTCTGGCTGCTGGGGCTTCATGGAGCGAGGGGACGTGCTGAGGGAGGAGCCTCCTGATTACGATGGGGACTTGGAGGGGACTGTGGCCACGTTTCTGGAGAAGAGATACCCGTACCCCGTGCCATGGCAACTCAAGGTGAGAAGCAGCTTTAGGTGGGGTGCTGTGGGGTGCTGTGGGGTGCTGTGTTCAGTGGCGACGTTTTTAAAGAAGATATACCCCTACCCCGTGCCGTGGCAACTCAAGGTGAGACCACGAGGCCAGGAGGCCAAGGTGAGCCCAGCAGGTCGAGCAGGTGAAGGGAGGAACGAGGGGGGGGGGACGTGCTGAGGGAAGAGCGAGGGGGGGGGACGTGCTGAGGGAAGAGCGAGGGGGGGGGACGTGCTGAGGGACGAGCCTCCCGACTACGGCGGGGACCTGGAAGGCACTGTGGCCACGGTTTTGGAGAAGAGATACCCCTACCCCGTGCCCTGGCAACTCAAGGTGAGGGCAGCAGGTCAAACAGATGAAGGGAGGAGTGAGGGGGGGGGGGCGTGCTGAGGGAGGAGCCTCCCGGCTATGATGGCGATTTGGAGGGCACTGTAGCGACTTTCCTAGAGAAGGGATATCCCTACCCCGTGCCCTGGCAACTCAAGGTGAGCGTGGGAGGTTGAGGTTGAAACGAGTAATTGGGTTTGATGGGTTGCTGTGCGGTGCTGTGGGATGCTGTGGAATGAGAAGGAAGAGATACCCCTACCCCGTGCCCTGGCAACTCAAGGTGAGGCCAGCAGCTTGGGGTGCTGTGGGGTGCTGTGCGGTGCTGTGGAGTGCTGTGGAGTGCTGTGGAGTGCTATTGGGTGCTGTGCAGTTGTGTCTTTCCTGGAGGTGAGCTTGAGATGTGCTTGATGGGATCAGCAGCCGAAGGCGAGATGAGCAGCTGAAGGTGCAACATCCGTCTCCCTCTCTCCTTTCCCCCTCCTCCCCTCCCTCGACTTCCTGCCCAACACTCTCCTCTCCCCATCCCCCCACCTCCACCAGGTGCGCACGCTGATAGACATGTTACAGACGTACGAGCGTCGCCCGTGGCTGACACGAGCCATGGCAGTCGTTGACCACGCCGCCCTCCTTGGCGCCCTGCCCATGCCCGTGCTCTGCCCTGCCTGCTGCTGCTGTGTCTGACACCCACCCTGTCCACCTTCTTCCTCCCCCCACCCCACCAGGTGCGCACACTGATAGACATGCTGCAAACATATGAACGCCGCCCCTGGCTGACACGAGCCATGGCAGTCGTTGACCACGCCGCCCTCCTGAGCACCCTCCCCATGCCCGTGCTCTGCCTGGCCGGCGACGGCGAGCCGTATCAGAAAGCGACAATGAAAGCCGCCCTGCTGTGCAAGAACGGCAAGTACGTGAACCTGGGCTCGGCCGGCAGTGACGTGGTAGATGAAATCCCAGACGATTACGTGGCAGAGGTTTTGTCTTTTCTCCTGGAGCCAGATATAGATGGGGGAGTGGGACCGGGGGGGGCGGGGGGAGGGTCGGGGAGAGCGGGGGGCGGAGTGGGGAGGGTGGGGGCGCTGGGGGGAGCGGCGCAGGGGGAGCGGGCGAGCTGGTCGATTCAGAGTGAGGTGGTGGCGCAGGATGGGGGGAGGAAGATGTCTGCTGCTGCTGGCGTGGGGGGAGCGGGGGGGATTGGGGGCGGGGGGGGAGGAGTGGGGGGGAATCAAGCGCTTAGGCAAGGGTCGTTGCCGAGTAATCTAGGGGGGGGAGCGGGAGGAGGGGGAGGGGGAGGAGCGGGTGGGGATGGGGGCCAGTCACCGAGGGGGGAGGGGGATGAGAGACGATCGTCATCTGAGAAGAAGCGAGGGCTGCTCAAGGGGCTGTTCCGAGGGAAGAGCGGGCTGCAGCAGCAGGGGTGAGGGCAGGCAGGCAGATGGCAGGAAGACAGCCAGGGAGATGGTCGCAGTGAAAGAGTAATGGCAGTGTGGGGGACTGAAGAGAGGGCTGCTCAAGGGGCTGTTCAGAGGGAAGAGCGGGCTGCAGCAGCAGGGGTGACAGCAGTGAGTCAGATGGCAGGCAGATGTGCACTGTGAATAGTGGTGGCAGTGGGGGGGATGACAGAGGGTTTTTCAAGGCTTCGTTTAGATGGAAGCGCGGGCTGCAGCAGCAGCAGGGGTGATGGCAAGAAGGCAGCAGTAGCAGCAGCTGCAGCAGCACTGGTGTCATCAACAGCCTGGTTGACATCGGCACTTATAGGAAGACAAAAAACAACGGCAGGCACACAGGCAGCAGCCATAGCAGCAGCAGCACTGGTGTGAGCCAAGATAAATGAGCAGCATGGGTGTCAGCAGTACTGCTTTTGGTGTGGCAGATGGTTTTTTGGTCGGCTGTGCTGTGCCATTCTTCAGAAGGTCTCTGTTCTCTGCCACGCGCCCCCTTGCCACCTCTTGTGGGACCCGAGCCCCACGTCACCTGAGTTGTCCAGGCCATTGGAATTGCCATGTACTACCTACTACGGTATCTGGAATTGTCATTTATGTCGGTTGCGATTGCTATCGTCAACTGGGCGGCACAGCTACAGTGCCTGCGTCCACCTTCACAACCGTTTCCATCATTCATCTAGATTTCCCTAGTGTGTCATTCATTTACAGGTAGGGGAGGGGACTGCATGCTTGCAGTATGCATGATTGTTTTTAGCACCAAGGGTAGCTTGTGGCTTGTACGGTTGTACTGCATCGGTGCTTTGCAGAGCACAGGTCTCCTTTTCCGTAGCCCAGGCATTAGCGTGTATCTGTCTGAAGGCGTACCTTTACATGCTATGAGGACTGTACGATAGGGCTTATACATATGAAATGTTCTTAAGATTGTTTACCACATTGAACGCTGCACCAGCATCGAGTGGTGTTCAGCATGATCACTCTTCCAGTCAGGGCCCTCACTAGGATCTAGGGCATCCTGAGGCCTCAGGGTAACTTTGCAGAATCCAAAAAAATGCCCTGATTTCTCAGGGCAAATTTTTTTAACTATCCTGTATTTTCAGGCCTTAGGCAGAAATACATCTTGACCTCTCAGGGCAAAAAAACATAAACAGTGTCATGTCAGCCTATGCTAATGGCGCCGTGGCCCGTGACATCGTCCGCGTTGGGCATGGCTGATGGTAACGAGCGCGTGGTCGGTGGTTGGCTGGTTGGTGCGTACGCGTGTCAAGGGAAAACCAGCCCCCACCCCACCTACCCCCCCCCTTCCTCCCACCCCAGCACCCCCCCCCAAAATTCGCAGCAGGGGAATTTTCGATATTCATCCTGACTCTACAAGGCAAAACAGTACGGCAATCCTGAAAATTCAGGGCATATCATATAGCAACATCCTGAGCAGGGTTTTTTTTTGGATTTTCACTACTCGGATTTTCAGAGCTGTTTTTTTGGGAACTCTGAAAATCAGGGTTCATTATGAGCGTTACTCTGATTTGTCAGAGAAAACTTAACTTCTGAAAAGAAGAAGTCTGGCCAATCAGTGCACCTACTTTGCCAACTCTTCTCACGTATTGAACCCAGGCCTTCCGCGCTCTCACTGATAATATTTATCGTTGTGCTACGCGTTCACAATTTGTATTAACGGCGGAATTCCTTATAGTATCACTAGTCTGCCTAGCCATCTTCCACCAGTTCGGGAAGGGGTTCGGTCGAAATGCCTATACCCTGTACAGAGAAAAATACATTCGCCAGAAATTTACACTGGTCTATCAGAGTGGCTAAAATCAAAACCCTGGCAAATCAGAGAAAACTTATCTTCCAAAAAAGTTACCCAGAAACGTCAGAGTGACCCCCCAGAAACCACTCTGATTTTCAGAGAAACAGAGTAATTTACTCTGATAAAAAAACCCCTGATCCTGAGACCACAGGGTACAAATGAGCAGCATTCTGAAATTACAGGGTGTTGGAATAACCGAAAGGTTATTACAAGCATTCCCGAAGGCTCTCCACTGTCGAGTCTCCTCATAGCGAAGCAGATGCTTGTACCAGTACCGCATGAGCTCATATAGAGCACGCGGAAGGTCGAGGGTCACCCGAAGGTCAACAGTCGAAGACAGTCAACGGTCGTGACCCTTGACTGCCCAGTAACCGCACAAGGCAGTTGCGAAGTGCAACACGGTAACTGTCTAGAATAGCAATAGTCGCGGGTTACTGTTGTCAGAAGTATAGGCAGGAATGAATGAACTATGACAGAGTTGGGTACAAGTATGAAACCCTAAAAGGGGCTGTACCCCATATTGGCTACCCCACTACAGCCTACACATGTATAACAAGCATATGCTTTGACACACCCCCATAGGCAAAGTGGGGGAGAGCAAGAGAAGCAAAGCAAGCTCAGGGTGGATCACAATGTCACCACACACTCTGAGCACAAGCAAAGTGCCACAAGGCCAGTTCACATGCAGAGGCATATATGCAAAACAAACAACACAGTGATCTCTACCTAGCAAACAAGCATGCAGGTATATATATATATAGATCACAGTACAAGCAAAGCCTACAGCAAGTGAGGAAAAGTGGGCACAAGCCCTAGCACGGTGCAGAAACGCTGATGATCACCAGACTGAAGTGCCTTGGTGAATATATCAGCAGTGTTGGCCCGAGTGGCCACGTAACGCAGACGAAGCTGACCACGCTGCTGCAACTCTCGAGCCAGGAAGTAACGCAGAGCGATGTGCTTCGTTCTGTGCTCCAGTCTGTGCTCCTCACACAAGGCAATGGCTGCCTTGTTGTCGACGTACAGCACTGGAGGAGAACGAGGCCGCTCTCCCAAGTCGGTCAGCAGGTAGGTGAGTCAGCGTAACTCCTGTGCAGCCATGGCTGTGGCGTAGATCTCAGCCTCACAACTGGAGCTGAGAACTGAAGACGAGCGTGTAGAACGCCAAGAAACAGAACCAGAGCCAAGACTGAAGGTGTAACCCTGTGACGACCGCTGCGTAGCCTGGTCGTCAACCCAAGAAGCGTCTGAGTGCCCAGTGAGGACAACGTCGCTCCGTCCTCCAAGCACGAGCCCCATGCCCGATGTACTGCACAAGTAGCGTAGTACCCTCTTAGCAACATCCATGTGCACCTTTCGGTGCCGACCAGGAGCCACGTAGCGAGCCAGAAGGCCAAGAGGGTACGCAAGGTCAGGACGAGTGCAGGTCATCAGGTACATGAGGCAGCCCACTAGCTCTGGGTAAGGACCACTCGGCTCTAGGGACTCGTCCGAAGGTGGAGCTGAGAGCGAGTGACCTGTAGCCAGAGGAGTGTGCTGTGCCGAGGACCAGGTGAAGCCGAAGCGCTGAAGGACCTGCTGCACCATGTGTGACTGAGTCAGTGTGATGGTGCGGCGTGCTCTGTCCCGGGTGATCCGCAAGCCAAGATAGCTTGTCAGCTCACACAGGTCTGTGCACGTGTGTCTCTTCTGCAGCTCCGACTTCACCAAGGCGAGAGCCTCAGTGTCAGCAGTGGCAAAGACCAAGTCGTCGACGTACACGAGGATGTAGAACGGCGGCAGCGAAGTGTCGGTGCGCAGAAACAGCGACGGGTCAGCAGTCGACGGGGCAAACCCAAGAGCCGCAAGTGTCGTCCTCAGTGTGTCGTGCCACTCACGTGGCGCCTGGCGGAGACCGTAGACCGGCCGCCTGAGGCTCCACTGGGTACCAGGAGGGAACGACCCAGTGAAGCCAGGTGGGCGGCGCAGCCAGATCTCCTCGTGCAGGCTGCCCTGTAAGTAGGCTGTGCTGAAGTCAAGAGAGTGAAGCTCGTAGTCACGCTGAGCGGCAACGTGCAGCAGCACCCGAAGAGTGGTCATCTTCGGGGTGGGGGAGAAGGTCTGGAAGAAGTCTACTCCCTCTCGCTGACTGAAACCTCGTGCAACGTAACGCGCCTTGAAGGCAGGCGGAGAACCTGGCGGCCGCTTCACCCTGAAAATCCACATGCCACTGACGATGTTCGCCCCAGGTGGGGGAACCTCGTCGACGTAGGTGCCTGTGGACTTCCAGGATGCCATCTCTGCGTCCATGGCTGTCTGCCACTGAGAGGAGTACTCACCCGCGATCGCCTCAGCGTAAGAGCGCGGGGTCGGGATGTCTGGAGCATCCGGGTCTCCCTCAGGGGCAAGCAGCATGGACACGAGATGAGGCGCAGCGGCTGCAAGACACTCAAGGTCCTCCTGCCTGTCCTCAAGGACGTCCGTGCCAAGAGCACACTCACCCCCGACGGACGGAGGACAGACAGACTCAGACTCAGCAACAAGACTAGCGGCGTAGTCTAGACGACAGGCAGCAGCAAAGTCAACAAGCTCAGCAACTAAGGCAGACGTAGCAGCAGACTCAAACGACGGGTCAGTGACAACAGTGGCTAACAGACGCGTGACAGTAGGGTGCTCAGCACGAAACCGGTCAGACTCGGGGTCCGCAACGACAGGCAGAGAAGACGCAGGAGGGGACGGCAGAGGAACACGCTGTAGAGGAGAGGAAGGACGCCGGATTACGAGGTGGGTGTCGGGTACAGTCGGCAGACGCGGACGAGGAACACGACGACCGGAACGACCAGAAAAGACAGGCGAGACAGGACGCGACGCAGGCTCACGACGCTCAGTAAGACCCCCTAGCTGCTCAGTGTAAGGAGAAGGAGCAGGCAGTGGTGAACCAGGCTGCAACGGAAGACCAGTAGACGAGGGGAGACTAAGAACCTGGCGAAGCACAGAGTCAGGCGGTGGCTGAGACGACGGAGACGGTGGAGCGAAGAACAGGTGCGGCTGTGTAGTGACACCAGCACCAGCACCCCCAGCAGCTCCAGCACCTCCAGCAGCTCCAGAACCTCCAGCGCCAGCACCCTCAGCAGCTCCAGAACCTCCAGCGCCAGCACCCTCAGCAGCTCCAGAACCTCCAGCTCCAGCG